TACTCATTTACATGTACATGTATAAATTATCTATTATATATATCCTTCTTTTGCAAAGTTAAATTGAAGATATTTTTTGATTTGGAACATTGTAAACTTCTATGGATTTTCTGAATCTGTTGCAACATTATCCATTAAGCTATCTGACCCATAATAGCCTCATATTCAATGAATCCAAATGCATAAACAGATATACTAGTACATTGTTTGAAAACTCAGTAAACGTAAACAAATTCTGCTTAAAAATTGTTCTAAATCGTTTTTCTATTCGTAATTAAATACATCTTTCAACCATTGCATGTTTTGATGTTTTTAGTATTTAAAATTTTTATTTTCAATAATTTGCTTGTCCCAACAGACCTCAATGCTTTTTTATTAATTAATTTCTGCTCAGACTGTTACATTTTTGACATTTTTCCGGTTAATCATTCTTTACTCTAAAGTGCTTTGAATAAATATCAGAGTACTGAGTTTTTAATACAGGACTGATATTTAACGTTAGAAAATTATGTTTTAATATGGGATGGATACCTTTATTTGTATGAAGATAAGAGCAAAACATCTGCGCCATTTCAACTTCTTCAATGACAATATCCCTGATATTATGAATAAGAGAAATAACGAAGAATATATATCCATTGAATGTTTATTATACCATCGTTTTCCACCTTCCTCAAATAATTTATTTTCTTCACGAATGAGTCTACTCTGCTCTGTTTTCTGCAAATATCAAAACAAAATGTTTGTTGTAAATGAGCATTTATTGTAATGCCAAACAAATTAACCAAATATGTACAAAAGTTACATATGACCATAGACTAACAGAGATGGTATAAATTACTTTATGTTGCACATAAATACAATTATTGAGCAATGTATCAAAACAAAATGAATATTTTAAATGAATAAATATTCAACACTATTGCATAATTTCTATCATTTATGCGTCTGTGAAGAGGGAACGAAATTGAAACAATGTATTAAACTAGAGAAGTATCAATAAAACTATTTGTGTTACATAACCGGAATAAAATATGCCTGATTAATGATTTCGTTGGGAATTTTTCAGGATGCAGATGCATGATTTTCCTGCGATAAATTAACGACCGACTTCCTGCTTATTTTATCCCATATTACCCTTTCGAATCTGCATCCTGTTTGTCATGGAGAAATTTAAATTCAACAAAGTATACATGTACATTTCGTTCTTCCAGCATTGAATCAAAGGAGGATTTCTCAATGCTTACATTGGTTTTTCCAAGTCCAGCAAACACTCTAACAAGGATTAATCTCAACATCTCACAAAAACTGTTGTAAATGAGAAATTTCAGAAGTTCTGCTCTAAATCATATTCTAGAGGTTGTGTAAATTAGAAATTAATCTTCAAAAACTCAAAACAATTTTTTTTAAATTCAAAATATAACTAAACTTCAAAACATATGACCTTTATATTGACACTTTATATTACGACGATTTATCTTCACGATAAACTATCATAGGCAACTTTTTCTTCAATAATAATAGAAGTCAAATAAGAATATGGGGGATAAGGCGGGCGAAAGGCCTATAGTGCGACAGATAAGAAGTGGAAATTTTAACCTCAATTAAATCCAAATTTTATTTGATATTTCTTCTAATATTAAAGTATTCTTTACGTAAAATCTCTACAATTTACAAAAATCTCACAAAAACAGAAAATATTTCGCTCCATTTTTTTGAAAGATGATCCTAAAAGTTTGCAATAAAATACACATTTTTTGGTTTACAAAAACATGGAGCGAAGACCCACTATACCTTAAAGTACACTTTTATAAGACAATATTCGCATCTTTCCGAGAAATACTTAACTCCATTAAGTTGCGGGTCATATCACAATGATTTAAATGCTCGAAATCTGTATGAGTCATGTAGCATAGTGGTTAACGCGTTAGTCTAAGTCGGATTTTTATTGTAATGGTTCGAATGTATTAATTTTGTGAAAGAAAAACAAATTAACGAGATTTTTTTTCCTCTCAGAATTTTTTTTCTCGTAATTAAAAAAAATCAATAATTAGAAGTTAATTGAAATACTCAATTCACATACTGAATATGATTTCTTAATATCGAGCACTATAGGCATTCTGCCCGCCCTGTTCACCCATCTTCTTTTAATTCTTTGTCATCAGCAAAATAACTTTGTTGAAACTACTCTGATAATACATAAAAACACTCTAAGTTGATAGCTGAACAATTTCTAAAACGAGGTAAGTTATTGACTAACAATTTGAAGAAACAAGAATATCAGCAGTTTCGTTTAAAGTCATAATTTCTTAAGTTCTATGGCCGATACAATGACCTTGTCAGCAAATACAATTTATCATTGAGTCAAATGCTGTCTGACGTTTTTCATACCAACTGTTCGTCCATTATTTATACACTGAATCGACGATAGGATTTTTCCTTTATTCCCCTATCATGGCAAGGGCAAGGAGCACACAGCGGCAGAGGATGCTCACTCCTCCATGGCACCTGATCCCACCTTAATGTTTTGGAGGCCCGTGTTTGCTTTGCTTCTATTTTGTACTTTCTTATGGATTTTGATATTGAATACTGTTCATTATGCCCATATCCTTCACTGAAATGGTCTTTGACGTCGACCTTCAAAGACCAGGGTTTCGATGTGAACTAATTTTTCTCCTCAAACAAATGTATTTATATTTAATAGAATATAATTAAATTCTTACATTTGAGAAGAATAGAACACTTGATTTTGTCATCGACTCGACAATTAGATCAATTAACTTTAGATCAATTAACTTTAATTCAATTGTTGCCGCAATGTGTCCCAGTGAACTTGAAATAAAAGGAACCTTATAGTCTTTACATCTTTTTTAAAATGTGAATGTTTTACTAACTATAGATGACAATTATTATACCTCTGTTAAAATGTTTCCTTTATAAAGTTCAGAAGGTAAAATAGCTATCTTTTATAGTTCACGCATAGCAAAGCTATACCCCGGGGTATAGTTTTTGCTATCCACTCTCGGAAAATTTTCATGCAATTTTTGCCTCCAATTTTGAGTTCCAGCGATAAATCTATTGACTGATGAAGTTATATTGACTTCAGTTGCATTGTGACGTCATCAGGATTTCAGATTATTCTTGCAGTATTATCTTACTCCAAAAAAAAATCAAACCTCAGAAATTATATTATACATCAGTATAATGAAACGCTTATCCACTGGTTGTGAGTGGTTATAGCTCTTTTATCAAACCCTTGACAGGAATTATTCCTCGGGGAATAGTTCCCTGTCGCGGGTTCGATAAAAGCGCTATCCCACTCACAACCAGTGAATAAGTGTATAATACCAACTGACACTGAATTATAAATAGTATGACAAACGAGATGACATCCTTTTTCTTCAGTACATTTTATTCCGATATCGCCTGCTTATAATGTTGCCATTTTCAGACTATGTTGACCTCCTTTAGAAGAAGAGCTCCTTATAAAACTATACAAAAATGTTCATTTTTCAAATTAACATGTATGAAATTTGTCTTTGCCCAATGATAATTGACAGCTTAAGATATCATATCTTAAAAAAGTTATACTTGGTGGTTACTTTGTTGACCCTCCAGCCTCCTTAAAGGAATGCATCACAACGCATTTATAAGCATTTTTTTACAAGTGCTACTTTAATTAAAGAACTATATGCGGTATTAACCAACATTTGCCCCCCAAAATCAAACTTTGATGGAGTAATATTTAATTAAGTCCTTAAACAGGGGAGTATATGCTGACTTCAAAGCACTGAATAATTTCATAAGTAATGACGTCATATGTACGTAATGACGTCACAAATATGACGTAAATTTCAGTTTTTTATGAATTTTGCAGAAAAATGTACATATTTCGTCGATATTTTAAATAAAAGTCACCGAGCGCATGTGTGTTCAGGATAAATATTTTGATATAATGTGTAGAATGATAATATCAATGAAATATGTCAATATTGTTCCTGAATACACATGCGCTCTATAAATTTTAAAGCTTAAATTGTTGAAATTTTGTCCATTTTGTCCTCTTTCTGAAAAAAGGATATAAAATCGGACTAGTTTGTGACGTCATAAAAACAGAAATTGTGAATACACTGCTCTGGAACTATAATATTTTCTGTTAACTTATATTTCTCGTACAATTTATTGAATTCAGCACATTTCAGGAAGTTTTCAAAATTTGACTTTTGTGGGGGCAAACATATGCAATATACCGCATATAGTTCTTTAATGCTATTTGATAAGGTAGAAAAATCAGAAGTTTATTTTTTATAAAAGCAATTCTCTGTTCAAAATCGTTAAGAATAAACAATTTTGAAATTTTTGCTATAAAACAAAATCTTGCTGTGATGCACCATGTTGTATGCAATTCACTTTTTTCTTTTTAAAATTATTGCAGCGTTTTGCTAAAAACATTCTGAGCTCCACGAATTTCCTCAGTTAGTACGCCCATGTACTAACTATAAAAGATAAATTATCCAACACGTTTAGATTACCCAACATATTTTGCAAACTCTTCCTCTTCACAACAGTTTCTGAACCTTTTAAAAGAATTTGCGCCACAAAAAAGATTGAATTCAAAAAGTATCGGTTATCGGTGAGGACGAATAAATATCTACATATTGACAGTCCACAAATTTAAAGAAAGGAAAACATTTTTAGGAAACAAAATCAGGTAATCAGAAACATAATATTTGATTTCGTTGTTTCAACTAAGAGAAAAATATACCAGATATTAAATTTGTTTTCAAGTGAAAATTCAATTAAAGACTGATTGCGTATTCTACAATAAATAAATATTAGAAAACTGTATTCAAGTCTAATTTATTCATAGTATCAACATTTTACTTAATTGATGATAAAACTACAATTAAACTTGATAGATAAATATAAATGAAAAAAAAAAAACCACCAAATTCACTCATAAAGCAGACGTTTTCTTTTGTATTGAGGATTTCAGAAATATGGACACCTCTAAAATTTTGCTGATTGCAGTTGTTTTAACTGCATGTTCAGTGATCTTTCAAGTGATTGGTCTAGCCTCACCGTACTGGATTCATGCTGATGTTCCACCTAATAAACTTTATTCTGGTCTCTGGAAGGCTTGTCTGGAAGAAGAAGGACGTGACTCCATTTGCAAAGATCTAACAAATACAACTGGTATGTATGTAATAGTTATTATTTTAGTTACACGTAGTTAAACGTACCATTCATATTAAAATACCTGTAAGTATGACGAAGATCAATTCGTGAAACTGGACAAAATGACCCTTTATTGGCTCAGAGGGGCGATCAATGTCATATATTAAAGGGCTTCTATTTGCAGTAAACATATAAACATTATAAGTTATACTTTATAAAGGTTAATAACAATTACAATACTCTTTTTCCCACAGATTGGCTAGAAGCTGTAAGGACTCTGAGTATCTTAGGACTTCTGGCTCTATTGGTTTCTTCAATAGCTGCCGCTTTGAAACTATTTATTATGAAAGAACAGAAACAAATTCTTCTTGTTGCAATTGCTGCTGCTTTTGCCGGAGGTAAGAAAAATTAAATAAGAATTTATTAATCTGTGCAACCTTTTTCTTATTTATCTTATATTTTCATATGTCAAGTTTTCATATATCAAGTTTTCAAGTAGTTTTTATTACAAGTATTTGAAATCAAATTATAACATTGACTATTATTTCTTTTTAAACATCTTTCATTTTTCATTGTAGCTATCTTCATTCTGATTTCAATAGCCGTCTATGCAGCTAAAATAAATGAGATAAATACTGCAGATATCTTTAAGTTTCACTTTGCGTTCGCATTTTGTATCTTGGCAATGTTAGAAGGGCTTGGAGGCGGCGCACTGATGCTGATAGAAATGATGAAATGATGAAGACAAAAACATTTCGTTTGCTTGAAATGAACATTCGTAATAATCTGAATACATTGTATTTATCAAAATTATAAAAAAAAAAATTGTTCATTTCCAGGAAAAATGCTTGTAATGCTTTCAAAATATATTTTTAAAAAATAAAGAACAATTAAAGCTATACTTGAGGGTGGTTCATAAAGTAATGCTACAACAGTTTATCTATCATTTTAAATATTGAAGCAGTTGATTATATTTTTACATATGTTTCTATATAGGAACTCAAACTAACCGAATACTATGTATAATATCATGCTCTCCACTGAAGTTATTCACTTTTAGGTAAGCATAATCACTTCAAGGAAATGAAAACTTCTTTGAAATGGTCTCTGTCAAGATGGTAATAAAGGAGGGCAATTGTGTAAATGGCTTTTCATGATAAAATTTATGATAAAACTTGCTAACGGACACATATGATGCAAATATTGGAACGCTGAGCAGGTCAAAATTTAGTAAGTTATAAACAATACACTAAATAATACCTGTAGTTATATACTTTGTAAAATGGAGCAAAAACGAAAAACAACCTAGAATTCAATTGAAGAATTGTTACATAGTAACTGTTTCGTTTTCCAAATTTATGGCTACATATTTTGCTTTGTTTAAAAAAGAAATCAACTTGAGAAGAAAGGTACTCCATTGAAAACGACAAAAACGATTAGAACGTCACGGAGCAGCAGACCTATGACGAAAAAAAATTGTGTTCTAAAAATGTTGGAGGAATCAAGAATTTGTCATAAGCGAAGTGTGCATGTGTGTACAAATAGTAGAGGCAGTATTAGAGTGACAGAGACTTTGTATTGAATGAGGACAATCTGCGAAGAAACGGTTTAACTGTAAAAATCTAATAAAAACTTTTAAGAGTTGGAACGTCAAGGAAAGACATAGGCACTTCAGCGTTGTTTATCCCATGAAAGCAGAGTAAAGTAATAAAAGAAGTAAAAACCTAACAATGGAAATTATACAACGAGAACAATTGTTAAAAAATGAATACCAAGTATGAGAAAAAAATTGAATGAGTGGGCATTAATTATTCTGTGTAAAATATATAGGGATAATATATTTAGAAATTCTTGACGCTATGTTTTGACGTTACATTGCAGTTAAGTTTGCGCCGCGGGTACAAAACATATTCACTTGATTTTAAAATGAAGTAAATTGGTTTCTGTTAAATCGAATGGAATGAAACTTCTCACATCAACAAAACAAATATTTTTACATATTATTTTGTAGTTATTTTAAATTTCTAGAGAGAACTATAACGAAGATTGACATCGTCTACGAACTTTTCGAACAACTCTCGTATATACACTGAACCAAACTTCTAAGTGTTCACCTAACATTTTTTAAGTTTTAAAGAACAAATGCAAACAATTAATAATTTCGTTAATTTATGCTTAATGATGCATATTTCAGTTCGATGTTGCGTAAATTTCATGTAAGTATCTCGTCAGAATTTTTAGCAAAGTGTCAGGGAAATGATGAAAAAATGAAAACTCACACAAAGATATTTCTTTGGAGTAAGACCACCATTCGCTCTATTATTACAAGACATACTTTACTGTTGGATACAATGTACCTCTGAATATGAGATTGACCCATCTGCTGCCACACCTACTGCCTAGTTTTTTCCAAACCGTTGAAATTGAGTAGAAGGGGGGGGGGCCTAAAAATTTCTTATAAAAATCAAAACTGTGTTCGATGGGATTCAGATCTGGAGATCTGAAAATGCATCATCACACAGAGGTCTTGTGGTCAATATCCTTGGACGTTTATCACGTAAGGACACCGTTTTAAGGATGATTCAGACTACATGAGCTGATATAAGACTGTCACAAGCACCGATTTCTTTTTCATACGATATCATTTTCATACGATTGAATTCTTTTGTTTTCATGTTTCTAAGATTGTTTCAGGACAATTTAACTGTCTTTAAATCTGGTGTGACGCAAAATGTTGGCCTCAGACGAAGAACAAAGTCACTTCCGGTTTGGTTAAATTTTGTAAAAAACTTTCAAATTGTGATAAATTGGCGATGAAAAAGACGCACAGCCTTTCAATAAATGTGTTTAAATAGGTTTTGATACGGGTTGTTAATTTTTAAAAGTGATATCAAGGACAATTAAACACTGAAATAAAAGTTAGTATAATGTGGTGCAAGGATGGTCCAGATATCAACATTCTAACGGCTCTCCCTTCTTTCTCAATGGTCATTTTGCAAATGTTTTGTGTTTTTTAGTGAAACCGGTTTTTAAAATTTGATAATGATCACAAAAAATTACTACCTGGTAATTACACAAAACATGTGCCACAAAGTACGGATTTATTGTTTTTAAGGTTCGTCATGGATCATTGGTTTTCATCGGTGATATTTATTTTTCTTTCTACAATTGTTGAGAGGACTCATTTGTTGTAATAATTTGAAAATATCATAACATTCCATAAGGTAGTTTTTAAATAAATACATTTATAAAAGTGAACACTTAGAAGTTTTGTTAAGTGTAGATATGGTATAATATTCTGACGGACTAGTCTTTCATCTTTAAAAGTCTTTCTTTAACTGACTTAAAACCTTTGTACACTGTGTTCCTCTAACGATTATAAGTTACCCTTTAAAACTATCATTTATCGACACCCGGGGCCATGGAACAGCGAGATATCATTTTCATGCCAATTAAAATTATTTCTCTTACATTTCCCAGAAAAATTGTTTGTAAAGATTTATTATGTTCATGAGAATATAAATTTACCTGTATATTGTTTTATATATATATTACAATTTCTAATATAGATCTCGAAATTATTTTGTAAATCTTATTTGAAGACGATATTGGTTCCTAGTTTGAATTATGGATTAAGAAGGATAACTCTAGTTTCTTCAAAAAACTGTTCATTGAGTCAGCTTTTCCAGAGCTGTAGGCAACAATAATATCCCACTCTCCCTTCTAGTATTTAATGTATTAAACATAAATATTATACTTTCATGTAAATAAGTTGAATCTGATTGGTCGAGAAACATTTGTTAAAATACACTATTACCCGCTGAATAATGAAGCCACGCCCTCCAGCGTAGCAACAGTCAACATTGCTTGACGACGGGTGATATTCCAAAAAATAGCGACTGCGTAGAATTTATGCACGCACGGTTCACTGTTATATTATACAATTATAGCCTTTTGATGAGGTCAATCTCTCGATATATAGATCTTACAGAAAGTATATCGACCGAGCACGAAGCATGAACATAAGAGAACATGTATACACACAGATGATTTTGAGAAAATAATTGAATGGGGCGACACGTCTAGTATACTTATGTAAATTATTTTTTCCTGTTCAGCTTCATTTACTCTTTCTGTCTGTTAAACATTGTGGTCAATAAGTAATTGCTTATTGCTCTGCCATGTGTACTTTATGACCAACGTGTCATTTCAGTGCTTTTTATTATCATTATTTCTACATACACATATACACAATACATTATTCTTACATATGTTGACTTCCTAACGGATGACATTAAACTCTTTGAATTCAGTAATGCAGGTCAGTTTCTTAATTATATCCGATTTGTTAATAGATCAAAAGGAATGTTCAGAATGAAAGCTTTACAGCGTGAATCATTTCCATCACATCATCTTTGCACAAAGTGCAAGTGTTAACTACACACAAAGTATATTATAACAAGTTTTGGTTATTGTGTATTTCAGGGAGAGGGTTATACATTTATATCCCTTGTGCTTTTTACCTGCACGTTGCTAGGGATTGAACAGTGAGACATGTGATGACCCAAAAGTAGGCTTGGTTAATGGATGTTCGATTCCACTGGGCGTTGATTTTTTCTTCAAGGAAAAGTTTATATATGCATTTAACAAACATAACCATTGCTACAATTTTGTGAGCATATTTATTTATTTCTATAAATCTGTAAATAATCATATTTGTCAACTTCTTTTGGGTAACAAATATTTGCCTTTATTTGGCCAAAGAATCACAATGCTTCTAATGAATTTTAGTTGTTTTCATCAAGAATGATAGTGATGTCAATTGAAAAATGTTCTAAGATGCTTTACGTAAGATTTAATGCTTCGAAATATCAGGTAAACTATTTAAGAAATAAACAACGTTATTCAGTGAACATGGCGTTATGAACAGCATTTGCTCTGCTAGTGGGTTTGCAAATATTTAAAGATAAACCTAGCTTTAAAAAAGGAAATACTTGTTATCTGCATTAGCAATCGTAAAGGAGGTTATTAATTCCCCAATGGTTTAATGACCTCTTGCCCTTTTCTGATTATCTTCAAAACATATCCAAAATGTCATGAACAGAATTTATCGAAAGATGGTATATATATTGTAAAGAGCATCTTTGATTCAGATGATCTGAATTTTGCTCCACAGAAAATATGTCGCGTGCACAGTGATATATACAAACATACCTCATTATACTTACAAAGAAGGTAAAACTGGTCATTTCAGTAATAAATACATTATTTTCTTCAGGCACAACATGCAGACTTCCAGAAAACGAGGAAATTTTGTGACAAAAAATATAAAACAGGTTTGCCGAAGAACTAAAGATATACTTGTTCGAGGAGCATGTTCTCTAATTGCTAACCTGTACTTCAAAGTGGTCCATAAGCTTGGAATGTATTTCTTTGAGCAGAAGTCACCATCATATTGTTCTGCTTCATGGGTTAAAAAGTGCATTTAATAATATTTTGTTGGAAAATTTTCAATTAAAGTTAATTGATTTTTAAGCAAATCTCAACTAGCATTTCAGAGGGTTATCCAAAAAATGGATCTCAATCTCGTGTAGATCACACATATTTATACATTATTAATTATTCATTTGAATGATAAAAGATGATCGAGATAATTAAGTTATACAGTATTCAGCTCAAAATTCCTTTCAAACAAGATAAACAAGGAGCAGAGGAAACATTGACCCCGAAAAACATTAG